ACCGATAAATACTTATCCATTAAATAAATCCATAAAGTTGAATTGATTTTATTAAGATAAAAGATTGCCTTTTTGGGCCCTTTCACGGTTTTGATCCAACCTGGGAAACCGGAACCCTAACTAGCAATTTTTCGAAAAAAGACAACCAGAAATCCCAAATCAAGTGCGGCCGTCTTTCTGGTCTTCCTCTGCAACTTTCACTCCAACACATGTCGCCGGTAACGGCTCTTTGATTATGCAATTTCTCAATAGTCTGATCTCTGTATGGCTATAACTTCACTCCCACACCCATCTTGTTTTCGAATCAATTTCTCAGCCACCAATCTCACTCAGAACTCGATTTCTTTCATTCTTTCTTTCCCATGGAGACAGAGGCTACGACTACGAAATTCAAGAACCCAGATTTCCGGCCGGTGCCACAACCCCATGATTTCCACCCTGAAATTACGGTGACTTCCCACGACGGCCTCCACTTCTGGCAGTTCATGATCGCCGGCTCCATTGCCGGTTCTGTGGAGCACATGGCAATGTTTCCAGTTGATACCGTCAAGACCCACATGCAAGCTCTCCGCTCGTGCCCAATCAAATCGGTCAGTGTCCGTCAGGCGCTCGGCTCAATCTTGAAATCTGAAGGTCCCGCTGGGTTATACCGAGGCATTGGAGCTATGGGTCTGGGAGCCGGCCCCGCCCACGCTGCATACTTCTCGGTTTATGAAATCTGTAAGAAGCATTTCTCTGCTGGCAATCCAAATAATTCCGCCGCCCATGCGATTTCTGGGGTTTTTGCAACTGTTGCTAGCGATGCTGTTTTCACTCCCATGGATATGGTGAAGCAGAGGCTGCAATTGGGACACGGTACTAATTATAGAGGGGTGTGGGATTGCACCAAGACTGTGTTTAGGGAAGAGGGAATTCGGGCGTTTTATGCCTCGTATAGGACGACTGTGCTCATGAATGCACCGTTTACTGCAGTGCATTTTGCCACGTATGAGGCGACAAAGAGGGCTTTGATGGAGATTTCACCCGAGAGTGCAAGTGATGAGATGTTAGTTGTCCATGCCACAGCTGGTGCTGCTGCCGGCGCACTGGCGGCCGCTGTGACCACACCTCTGGATGTGGTTAAGACTCAGTTGCAATGTCAGGTAAATTCGAGCTTTGTATGCGTTACCCTTGCTTGCAACCTTTCCATAGAAGTGAACTTGACCTTAGATTAGCCTTTTGCTAACTCTATTGTATGTTTGACGGCCTTTTGTTAAGTTTCTTCATGTCTAATGTTTTGATCTTTGTTCTTGTAAGCATTCAAATGCATTGAGAACTGAACTGTTTTTATTGTGCTACTCAGTCCAATTTGCAAAACTCTGAACATGGTGCCAAATTACATCTCTTTCCAAAACGGAAATGTTGATTCTCTACCAAATTTGGAGTTAAAAGAGGAAAAACACACTGGATGTTCACAATGGTTTATGGTATCTATTTGTAAACTTTTGTCCTAAACTGAATTGTCTTGTCTTTGATTTGCATGTATTGTTGTTCATATTTGCAGTCTTTTTATCCCATTTGGTCTTGATTCATTCTGTATTTTACCATTTAAAGTTATCATAAAAAAATTGATGTTGGTTTTGCTATGAAGAATAATGGTGGATTTTGTGAAAACCAATTTAGTTAATGAGCCCCCGAGTACTAACATTCATGTTCTACTTTGATACCCAGGGAGTTTGTGGATGTGATAGATTTAAGAGTGGTTCAATTACAGATGTGATAAAGGCAATAGTACATAAGGATGGCTACCGAGGGTTGATGAGGGGATGGATTCCCAGAATGCTTTTCCATGCTCCTGCTGCCGCAATCTGCTGGTCTATATATGAAGCTGGAAAAGCTTTCTTCCAAGAAATTAATGGAAGCGATGGCAATAGCACTGTAACCTGAAGCACAATGACAAAATAAGGGTTTCAGTATTCTTTAGTTGCATCACACAAATCTGTTGTATGAGTAACAGAATAGACTCCTTTCACACGATGGACAGGTAAACAAGTGGCAAGAGAAATACTCTCAGAGACTGCAATGTGATAACTGTCTATCGAATTGGCATCGGCATCAATAGCTCAAATACATTGTTGTCAATTTTATAGAAACTTATTGCTTAGCGAGTTTTTCTGGCGGAAATTCATCCATCATGAAAATCCTGTCAATGGGTTTAATGATGTTGTAAGGTAGAGTATAAATTGCTTCAGAAAGAGTCAATTTTTTCCCCCAATTTTTTATATATTCAGGAAGTTTTGATTTGTTTATTAAGTGTTCAAGACTAATGTGCCTTTAGTTGTTGCAAAGCTGGGTGGATTTTGAAATGTGATGATGGAATAATAATATGAAATTAAAGGCTAAAATTTTAATTGCCAACAAAAACTGGATGAGAAAATGGAACAAAGCTTTGCAACGAGGAATTGTCATTCTTCGGGTTACAGTCTTTGTGAAGACATTTTCTGTATACATTAATTTTCCACACTAAAATGTAAAGCACCAGTGGTCTAGTGGTAGAATAGTACCCTGCCACGGTACAGACCCGGGTTCGATTCCCGGCTGGTGCAAATTTTTTTGTTATTCTTCCATGCTTTCCTCCAAAAACTTAGTTTTAAAAAATTTTTATTTTAGTAATGCTTCGAATTCGAAGGCCAGGGGTTTGTAACTTCGTATATAACAAATTCAGTAAAGGGAAAAATAGAATCCTGACACCAATTTCACCAGATTGAATCAATGAACACAATATTACCAACTTTTCCCTCATGCATAATAATTTACTTGCATTTACCAAATAATAATAATAATAAAGTAAAAATTCATTTATACCAAGATTTTTAAAATCGGACTGGTTATTGAACCGTTTTCAGGTTCGGTTTTCAGTTTGACCGGTTCAACCAGTGAACTGGTCGGTTCAAATAATAAGGGAAATTTGATGAGAGTGATAGGTAATTTTGTAATTTCATTAAAATTAAGGGTTAAAATCGGTATAAGAAAGGAATGGTGAGGGTGAAATTGGAAAAACTAAAAAGAAAATTGCATGAGAAATTGAAC